CAAACAATTTTAACAATAATATAAAAAGTAATAGATAATCATAAATAAAATTTAAATTAGCATTAACTTTAATTATTTAAAAAATAAGTTACTGTTTCTATAAAAAATAACAGAAAAAATTTATATCAAGTGATAAGAATTTTAAAAAGAAAAGAAGATAAAAAGTATATAAATTACAAAATTTACCTCACATTACTTCATAATCAATGTATAAAAATCTGAAAAAAAAAAACTATTAGTATGTTAAATAATAAGAATTCAACAAAAAAGAGAGAATAATGAAAAGAAAAATATGATTAAAGGTAATTTATGAAAATATAAAGAAGAGAATGTAAAAGAAAAAAGAAAATAAAAGGAGAAGAAACTTAAAAAGAAATGTTATTTGCGGAAAAAAGAAAAGGAGGAGGAGAAGGGAAGAGGCAAAAAAATGAAAATGAGAAGAGAATGAGATGGTTTGCTGTCGGAGTGATATTTATAGGCTAAACATCTTCGACAGAAATTCTGTTGAATATGTTTAAAATCTAAATTACCAGGAAAATTTTAATTTTTTCCGTGATAACCGGGAAATTCAATTTTTTCGGGGAGAGGCACGGGACATGGTTATATTCGACAGCCCTATTGGCTATCGAATATACTGAGTTTTCTTTTTTTTTTTTGGCCGCGAAGGCTTAGGAAATTCAATTTTTTGGCTGGGGGACCCAGGGGTATATTTGACAACCAACTTGGCTGTCGAATATATTGGGTTTTTTTTTTTTGGCCAGGAGTTGAAATTTTTTCTAGAGAAATTCAATTTTTTGGCTGGGGGACAGCCAGAGGGGGGGGGTGGTGGTATATTCGACAACCAATTGCTGTTGAATATGTTTTTTATTCGACAGCCAGTGGCTGTCGAATATATGTATATTCGACAGTCGTATTGGTTGTCGAATATACATGTATTTTTTTCTCTAATTATTTCTTTTTTTTATTTTTTTTGTTTTTCTTTTGATTTTTTTTTATTAATTTTCTTGTAAAATATTTTGTTTTAAAAGTAATAAGAGTTAATTTTTTTTGAGCTAATAATTAATTATAAAAATTTTAATTTAGATAAAGATATATATCCTATTTTTTTTGTAAAATATTATATTGTAATTATTTTCTTTTTTACTATAGGATTGTTAAATTTTGTTAATATTATATATTTTACTTATTTAAATTCAAATACTACAAAACTAAAAACTAATTTAAGTTAATAGAATATATATTAACTTTTCATCCTACATACCATATATCCACATACGCAGTACATATATATAAACATATATAATATAAGTTTCAAATATCAATGTCTCTAACTATGAGGTGGGAAGTGATCAGGTCTAAATCTTTCAAAAGAACGATCAGCAGTCTGAGGTGGTGCAGAAGAAGGATAACCAGTTTGGGGTTGTGTAGCATTCATAGAGTATTGCTGGCTAAGTAAGCGCATGTGCTCTTGAAATCTCCTCTCAAAGCTGGCCTCCATCTCTGATACTCTCTGTGATACCTCTATATGAATACGTGCGGCCACCTCTGTCTGAACTCGCTCAGCCATTTCTTCCCTAACTTGAGTAAGCTTAGACTGCAACTGTTGAACCTGTGCCGTAAGAATCCTGGTGGTAGAAGAGGAGGCGTCACTCATGTCATATCGTCGCCAAGGGATACCATGCTCTGCTGGATCCTGTAATATAGACATCCCTCTTATCTGACCCTTTTTAGGAGGTCCAACCACCTCCTTCTAGATAAATGGATCCCATTCAGGCCATGAATCCTTGTTTGGCCCATGCTTCTCCACATATTTTTGGTGAGCATCGTTCTGTCTCAAAAATAAAATTTTCATTAGTAATTTCAAATGATAATGGAAAATCAAATGAAAAATAATTATGTACTGAATACAATGGATAAAAAATTGTATCACTTTTCTTCTTTTACGGCAATATGACATTAAAAATAAATAAAATTAATATAATAAAAGAATCATATTCGATTCTTACATATGTCTGCTCAGCCTGTGGACATATCCAAGCGGGTGGGGTATCTTCTGGAGCATCGGTCGACGAGTCGTATGACTCAACAAGTACGACTCTAAAGGTGTCGGCCTAACTCCTCCTCTTTTAGCTGCCTATTAAAACATCAATAAAATCAATAACATTTCCATTTTTATGGTAAAAAAAAATTATATATGTATATATATAAGTATATCTTACTAACCAGTCGATCCTCATGGATCCCAATAGAAAGGCATCCAGTTGTGTGGTGTGGGTCACACGGTCACCCTTTGATCGGTTTTGCCGACCTCTTTCTTGGAGTGCAATATATTTTGGACTCCTCCATTTTGCCAGCAAAATTTTAAAGGTATCCTTATGCATGAACTCAGGCAACTTCTTGTCCCTGACCCATGCCTTTTGAGCTTGATGAAGCTCGTCTCGAAAACGGTTTCGACAATGTAATCTCCAGATTTTATACACACAAGCATCATCCTCTTCCCAATAATATGTCCTCTGCAATGAAAAAAAAAATTAAATGTTAATAATTTATTTGATTTTTCTTTAAAAAAGAGCAAAATTTTGCT